ATTTATTTATTTATTTATTTATTTTTTTGTCTTTTCTTTCTGTAGTTATTGTTCGTGGACTTCCGTCCTCTGCTTCTTGGCAGGACCTGAAGGTTGGTGGTGTGGACTGTTCTGTATGTGAATTGTCTGTCGTTTTTCCGTTTGACTAGTTTGTCACCGCTCAAAAATATTTTAGGATCATATGCGAAAAGCTGGGGATGTCTGCTTTGCTGAAGTTTCACGTGACAGTGAAGGTTTTTTCCGAGCTATCTGCCACAATGCATTTTTGAGTACTCTTAATTGATAATTAGTTGTAAAATGCATGAAGATGTTTGTGGCTAATTATGTTTATAAGCTGCCTAAGTTGGCTCCTTAACATATTGTTGTCAAATGCAGGAACCTATGGCCTTGTCGATTATACCAATTATGAGGACATGAAATATGCTGTGGGTTTCCTATTTTTGCTGAACACTTTTTTTAGCTTATGATGTTTGTACTGTCAGTTGTAGATATTGCTAATGCATACATGATTTGACCAGATCCGTAAGCTTGATGATAGCGAGTTCAGAAATCCTTGGACAAGAACTTATATCCGGGTACTGTTCTATTTTTCGTACTTATATTTCTTGTTGCTGCAAAAGAATCTTGATGGTCTCCACATTCGTTGCCATGTGAGAAATTCAGTGATTTCTCTCTGAACCATGATACTTCTGGAAAAAAAATATTATAGTTTCCATTTTTGTTTGGTGAATTTAGGTAAAGGAATTCAAGGGCACTCCATCGAGAAGCCGAAGTAGGAGTCTCAGTAGAAGCAGAAGTCCCAGAAGGAGAAGGTATTATCGAGTCATACTCATGTAACGTCTTTTAGTTACACAGATACCCTTGAGCTTCAGCGCACTTTCGGCAAACCTCATTTATTTAAAAATTTCAAGTACCTTGGTAGTTATTCTGGTTTAAGGAAAGGGATACTTGTGAATGACTGAATGCTACTTTTGAATGGTAACTTCGTCAGCAGGTCCTTAGAGCGGTCGGTTTCGAGGTCGCCATCTGCATCTCCTGTTAAGGCATCCAGGTATATATTTTGCTTTAATTTATTCATGAAGTAAATCAATATTCAATTTGTTTTAACAATTACTCTGCTACGAAACTCCAGGTCAAGGTCGAGGTCAAGGTCAAAGTCTGCATCTCCTCGTGAGGTAAAGCCCATGCAGTACAATTTGTTGACGACATTCCATAGACTATTTAACCTGTGCTGTTGCTGCTCTTGAGATTTTCATTTCAAAATTAGCTCTCTTATAACTGTTGAGAGCTTACTCATTATCTGCACTTTTTTTTTTTTAAGAAAAATTTTTGTCAAAAGAGATTATAAGATATGAAGGAAAATCTTTTAATATTTGTGTATAAAGTAAGGTGATTCTAGCTTTTTTTTTTTCTTGGTTCTAAAGATTTATAAAGTTTTGAAGTCTTTATTAACATTTCAAGAAAGTTCAGTAATTTGTGTTTTCAAAACACTTCAACTTATTTCATAAAATCGAAATATTTTCCGAGGATGTAAACTTGTGTGACTAAATTTGCTGATGAAAATTATGCTTTTTATTGCAGGCAAGGTCCGTAAGCCCATGAACCGAGTCTGCAGATATGAAGCTTTTGCGATGCAACGAGTACCTTGGCTATATGTTCTGATGCATCTATCTTATGACTGGAAAATGTTTTGCTGGACTCAAAATATTACTCTACACTATTGTGTTATTTATGGTGGACCCTATACTACCGTTGCTGTGTTGTTCATGGAGATTTGTTTCTTTGCGGTTTGTGTACTTTGCGCTCTTTGGGATTTGACTCTTTAATCAAGGTTACTGACTGAGTTGGATTGCGTTTTTATTTAAATAGACATGCATTTATTACACAAGATTAAATTTTACGAAAATGCAAAATATAGCCTTTGTTACAAATAAGAAGACAAGGATATTTTTTCTCAAAATATTCCAACACATCCCCAATAATATTTTCAAATTTAAACCAGTGAACTTCAAAATTTAAAGTTGGGAACAAAAAAAAAAAAAAAGGAAAGAAATTGATGCATGTTCGATGGGGATCACAAGGGGAGGATCTCAACGGAATTTCCAGAATTGGAATTGAAATGGCCAATTTACATGTATACTAAATTGATTAAGAAATAATTGTAAAATTACTAAACTATAAACTTATTTACGCATTTACATAACCCAGCATAAATATTTAGATAAATACTACATACTTAAAGCATTCTCTTCTCCGTAGTATACACCTTTCCTACTTTCTCCTCTCTTGATCCATTCAATTTAAATTTAATTATTTTTTATGTAAATTGGTAAATCAATTTTTTTTACGTAAATTTATATTTAATTTATTTTCAGTTTATTATAGGTTTATAAATCAGTTCAAAAATACATAATAGTTTATTATAGGTTTATAAACCAATACAAGAATATAGAAATTATGAATAAACTTCAAGTGTTCATAATATTTAGTTTATTTTTCACATTATTATAAGTTTATAAACTAATATAAGAATATAACAATTATGAATAAATATCAAGTAATCAGCTTCTTTGAATTTGGGCAACTGCTACAATACTGGAACCATACTCTGGTATGCCTCATCCCCAAATGTTTAAACCCAGTTTCTCTGAATCATTATAGGCCTATCAGCCTATGTTATGTAGTTTATTAAATTATAGCAAAAGTGCTGGCCTCTAGGCTTAAAAGCTGTTTGGGAATTTGTACTAGTTCTGCTCAGCCAGCCTTCATTCCTGGGAGGCAAATTCTAGACAATGTAATAATAGCTCAAGAGTCCTTTCATTTCCTTAATCGTCATTGATCTGGTAAGCACTACTTCATGGCTCTAAAATTAGATATGATGAAGGCTTATGATAGAGTGGAATGGGCTGGGTTGAACAGTACAATGGCTAAAATGGGTTTTGATTTGAGATTCAGAAAATGGGTTATGGCCTGTGTTACCTCATCAACTTTTGCTTTTCTGTTGAATGGAAGAGCCACTGGCTTTGTGAAGGCTCAAAGAGGGCTAAGACAAGGGGACCCCTTGTCCCCTTATTTGTTCCTAATCATTTCTGAGGTGTTGTCTTCTATGATCAAAGTGGCTGCTGACAATGGCTCTTTCAGAGGAATCAAACTTGTGAGAGGTGGGCCTACCTTGACCCATCTGTTGTTTGCAGATGACCTGCTGGTCTTGTGCAAAGCTGAGCAGAGCCAAGCTGTGTTGTTGAGAAGATTGCTGGAAGATTATATGGCCTTCTCGGGTCAGAAGGTTAACCTCTCAATGTCTGCTGTTTTTTTCAGTAGAAACACTGGGGATAATGTGAAGCAGGTTATTTGTCATCTGCTAAATGGGGTTCAAGTGCACAGTTCTACAAGGTACCTGAGACTACCTTTGGGGATATGTAAGTCTAAGAAAGAAGCATTTGATTATATCTTGCAAGCTGTGGGGAATAAGATGATCAATTGGAAGAACAAATACCTTTCTCAGTTGGTAAAGAGGTGTTGGTAAAAAGTGTCATCAATTCCCTTCCTATTTTATCCATGTCTTGCTTCAGACTGCCTGTGGGAATTTGCAAGCAGATTGCACAGCTTACTGCTTCCTTTTGGTGGAGTAATGGGACTGACCAAGATAGAGGTATTCACTAGAAGAGATGGAGCCTTCTTACTCATCCAAAACAGAAAGGGGGCTTAGGCTTTACAGATGTGCAGGTGTTCAATGATGCTTTGATTATCAAACAGCTGTGGAGGATTACCACCCAACCACAACTGCTTGTAAGCCAAGTGCTGAAAACTAAATATTTCCCTGACTCTTCTATTTTTGAAGCCACTAAAAAAGCAACAGCCTCTTGGCTGTGGAATAATTGGGTGGAGTGCATCCCAGAATTTGCTGAGGGCATGATGAGAGAAGTCAGAAATGGTAGAGATACACTAATCACTGATATTGGGTGGATTCCTTCTTGCAAGATGTGTAGGCCTGTGATCACAAATTGTGAAGAAGCTGTGGGCTGCAGGGTTAGTGACTTGTTGTGTAATGGGGGCAGAAGATGGAACTCTGACAAAGTTAAGAGATTATTCACAGATGTGGACGGCCAGTCAATTTTGCAGCTGAATTCTCTTAATACAACTAAAGATGATCAATGGAGATGGACTGAGAACAAGAATGGCAAATACTCTGTAGCCAGTTCCTACTTAAAGATGATGCACAATATAATTCTTCAGCTAGACCAACCTGAAGGTAGCTCATCTACAGACAGGGATTGGAAGATCAGAGACAGGTGCTGGAAACTCCAAGTGAAAGGCAAGCTGAAGCACTTTCTATGGAAGTGTGTGAATGGGAGTTTATCTGTGTGTTCGAACCTGAAATCTCGAGGCTTAGAGGTAGATGTAATTTGTCCCACGTGTGGGGATGAAGTTGAAACTGTAGAACACATTTTTCTGCATTGTAGTAGAGCCAAAGCTGTCTGGAAGTTGGCCCCTCTAGACTGGGATGGAATAGAAGAAAGAGTTGGGAATTTTCGACAATGCTGGTGGCAAGTTTGCTCTATTAATAATTCAGAGATGTCCGAGGCCCGCATTCAACTCACGACTTATATTCTATGGTGGCTCTGGCACACTCGCAATTTGTGGCTGTTTAAAGGCAAGAGACAACCAGCTGCAGTGGTAGTGAGGCAGGCTTGGTTGGAGTGGCAATAATTTCTCTCTTCTCTTTAGTAGTTCTAGTGCTTTGGTGTAGGTGGTATGTTCTCTTTGTTTTTGTTGCTGTTTCCTTGTTGTTTGTTTCTTTAGGGTGCTGTTTTTGTGTGTGTCTTGTAGTTGTGTGGTTCTGTTAGCAGCTGGGGATTTCTAGCCTTAGTGCTTGCCCGAGTGGCTTTGGGTTGTGTGGTTTAGGCCATCTTGGGATGTGCCTCTCAGTGTGTTTTAGCCTTGGTTGGCTTGTTGCGGTTTGTATTGGTACTTTGTATTTTCGGCGGTTGCCGGTTTTAGTGGAGCTTTTTTATCGTTGGAAAAAAAAAAAGAATCACCCTTATGTTCTACACAAATTCACACAAAAAAATATGTTAATATACCAAATATTAACTATAAACAAAAATCAAATAATCATTGAAAAATAAACTAGAAATATGATAATATACCAAACATAAATATAAATAAACATTGAGAAATGAACTAAAAATCTATTAATATACTAAACATAATATACAAATAAACATCAAATTAACATTGAAAAATGATCTATACAACATAAACTATAAATAAACATCAATAAACATTGAGAAATGAACTAGAAATCTGCTAATATACTAAACATAAACTAAAAATATACATCAAATTAATATTGAAAAATGATTTATACAACATAAACTATAAATAAACATCAAATACACATTGAGAAAAGAACTAGAAATCTGCTAATATATTAAACATAAACTACAAATAAAAATCAAATTAACTTGAAAAATGATCTATACGCCAATGTAGCGCTTCACACCCACTACAAAAAAAAAAAAAAAACTCTTACATTCCAACGAAAATTTTTCATTGGAATTATTTATATTTTCCGTTGGAATAGCTATTCCAACGGATATTCCTACGCATAAAAATTCGTGGGAAAAACGGCCGTTGGAATAGCTAAAATCCAACGAAAAATCCTATGGAAATAAATTCCTACAACTATTCCAACGGAAATAATCCGTTGGAATTCCTCAACCATCCAACACTTATTCCAACATAAAATTAAGTTTGTTGGAATATTCATTGGAATTTCCAACGGAAATTTTTGCCGTTGGAATTGAAGTGTTTTCTTTTAGTGACCGTAGCCGTGCTTGTCATCGCCGGACCACGAGCCGCTGTACACGTCCCGTTCGACTCGACTACCATCCTCGACTGTGCCGCGCCACCGTTGGGCTCGATTTACTGGGAAGAATAATTAATATTGCTTCTGTCGTTTGCCTTGTCGGCAACGTTGGGCAAACCAACTATAGTGCTGCAAAAGCAAGAGTGATTGGTTTCACAAAGACAGTTGCCAAGGAGTATGCAATCATAAAACATTATCGTGAGTAATTGGAATCAATTATTTAGTCAATGGTACAAGTATTTGTTTTGGAATAAATTATTTACTCAATGGTAGAAGTATTTGTTTCAACAACAGCTAGTCCTAGAGCATTTAAAACTACTTCAAACCTAAATGCGGGTTTTCATAATTTCATTATCAGGCTTACGGCCTTCACTGACCGCGCCGCACTACCGCTAGTGTTCTCATCCTCCCCTTTTGAATCTCTACACAAGACGATCTCCGACCTCCCGTTGGTCATTGTGCAACCTCAGTTCGGGAGGTTGAAGTCAGTCTGCACTGCTTTCAGCCACTGGTCGTCGCTCCTCTGACCTCCACCAAGGCATCGTCCGTATATGTACAATTAAAATTGATCGTGACGGTGTGGGATAAATTTCTCTTGAAATTAAAGATGTGATAGTTCGATATTGTGAGTATGAGGGAATCACCGTGTTTCCACGTTGACGCACGCACACTGCTCCAGCGACGCGAAGAGTGTTGCCGCCATGCATTCTTCACACAGTGGATTGGACCG